GGAGAAAGGCCTGGTCTGCTGGGGGGGGGCGCACTAGCTGGGCTCTCCGCCCTCCCCAGCAGACCAGAGAGACGTGGGCGGCGGACCGAGACGCACCGCGGTCCCGCCGCCCGGGTCCTCCGTGGCTTTGCTCCGCATCTCCCTGGTCTGCTGGAGACGGGGAGCAAAGCCTCTGAGGATGCCGGCAGCGGGACAGCCCAGGAGACGCGGAGCAAACCCCGTTCGTAACTGCGGATCCGACATAAGTCTGATCCACGTAACTCGGGGACTGCCTGTATAGTAAAATTTTATTGATTTCTTTAGATTAAAAAATGAAATCTGCAATTTCATTCTGCTTTTCACCAAATTAAACAGCACCATATAACCCCATGTAAACACATTTAGACATGACACAGCTGATACTTATGCTCATCCTGTAACTCTCTGACTTTAATGTGACCACTCACAAGAGTAACATTAGGCACAGCTAGGATTTTCAAAGAAACCTAAAGGAGTTAGGCATGTAAATCTCATGGAATTTCAATGTGAAATGGGCCCTTAGTTCCCTTAGGTTCTTCTGAAAATCTCAGTCCATGTGTGGGTGTTGGCAGGACTGGGGGACTTAACATGATAATGTTACATTAATTTACCAATAAACCCCCAAACCTTCTTGGCTATTAATAGAATTTTGTGGAGAAATGTGGTGACCTTCTCGAGATCCAGAAATCAGGTCTGCCAAGAAGAAGAGGTTTCTTAAGTCCATGCATAACCAATGCACTATTGACTGGAGAAATATTTCAGAATGCTAGCAGTTTTTACTAACAAGCAGACCCATCATAAATGTGATGTCTATGTCTAGTATGTCTGTAATATTTATCTGAATAATGAAGATCTTGTGAAAAATACTGTCTATAATGAAATAGCTGAGGGTGTGGATAAAGCAGTTATATAACAACTGTTTGGATTTTTTAAAATTTGGACACATTTCTGTTTAAATTCATCCAGCTTATACAGTGATGTCCTGATCTAAAGTCTATTGAAATTAATGCAATCAATTCAATTGACTTCAATGGGCTTTGTTTCAGGCTTTGAGAGAACATAAAGGACATACTATAGTACCTACAGGTAAATGTACAAAGACACCAATATGCAAAAATGTCTCAGGTATAATTAAATCCTTTTAATTTATTGAAAAGGTCTTATATTTCTTACCTAGAGGTAGTTTTTCAATTTTGGAGGTTATTGGAAGAAAATGATTTGATATACACACATGTGCACACCCACAATTAAGAAGTGTATCTTTTAAAAAAATTCCTGAAATAAATCACATTGTTTAGCAGCAGTAGTATGAATCTGGAGGTTTTTTTTTTAAGGTAGTACTGATTCTATTAATTTATATTAAAACAGGGATGTGATATTTATGGAGACTGCTGCTTGCAAAACACTGGCATCAACATGAAAGATAGTATACTGCAACGTCTTCTCCAGTTCATATCTATTTTACAATGTGCACATAAAAATCTCTGCAGCATTACTTTTAAGAGACTTTTTTGAGTACCAGTATCCTGAGCTAAGTGTTTATATTATTTCTTGTTGTTACAATGTTGCAATCTGTTTAATAATCATAATGACTGGAAAATGTAATGCTGCTTTTATTTAATCGTATTAAAAACTTATAAAAGTTTACAGCTTAGAGTAATCTAATGTCAGCACATAAGTGTAAAGGTTTCAAGTGCTTTCTTAAAAATATGTCATTTGAATTTTGTGTTTAATTGTAAAAGGTCCATTTGAAGCATAAACGTTCTGGTGTTTTGTTTAAATTGTAATTTGTAATCTTTATACTCAACACATTACAAGGTTTTTTGTGATGGATAAAAAGGTGTGAAACTGTCCTCTGTTATGATGTTATGTTGTCTGCTGTGTTACACTGATCCTACAAACATGTAAAAAAGTAAAGTAATTGGCCTGATTTTCCATTGAATTATTCCATGTTTTCACCTGTGTAATTCTACTGACATCAGTGGAGACTGGGGTGGCAGAACCAGGGGGAACAGAGGCTTGCTCCTGCATAAACTAATCTCTGTCCAGGAAGGTGGTACACAAAGGTGATGGTGACACCCCCAAGGGGCTGCAGTAGCTGCCATGGTGCCTGGGATTGTCCTGGGATTAGCTGCCATGG